TTCATTCGCGAGGAGCCGTATGAGATGAAAAATCTCATGTACGGTTCTGTAATAGAGATGGAATTGAGAAACAACCATCAACTAGAACCCCAAAAGAACCAGATTTCGTAAACAACATAGAGGAAGAATGAAAGGAATATCCTATCGAGGTAATAATATTTGCTTCGGAAGATATGCTCTTCAGGCACTTGAGCCCGCTTGGATCACGTCTAGACAAATAGAAGCGGGACGGCGAGCAATGTCACGAAATGTCCGACGAGGTGGACAAATATGGGTACGCATATTTCCAGACAAACCAGTTACAGTAAGACCCACCGAAACGCGTATGGGTTCGGGAAAAGGATCTCCCGAATATTGGGTATCTGTCGTTAAACCTGGGAAAATACTTTATGAGATGGGTGGGATATCAGAAAATATAGCCAGAAAGGCTATTTCTTTAGCAGCCTCAAAAATGCCTATACGAACTCAATCATTATTCAGGATAATAATGAAACCAAGGAAAGAGGGCTTTAGGATGAAAACATAAAATGCAATTGTAAGTTCCTTATTTTTGAACACAGATATTTCGTTTGTTTATGATACAAGATATTTGGATTGCCAACGTAAAATCACTATATTATTACGCCTTTTCCTTAAAAGGGAATCTTGTTACATAGAAGAGAGTGATACACCGTATCAAGAATCGAATCCGACTTCTAATTAAGAGATACAATGAATCTCTACTGAAATTTCACGGATCAGCATTGGTTTGTGATATGTGAAATAGGAATTCCGGTATCAAAAATTCTGCAGATTCTTTCTGTATGGAATGAGTCAATCCATTCCACTTGGTATCTATGTAACAAAATATAGGTGATATTGTTCCTCATTTGATCAAATTTCGATTATTCTAGGGAAGTTTCCCACTCGTCACAATAATAAGGTTCCACTTTTGTTTTACCAATGTAAAGATTAGAAGACCTTATTGATTCTAAACAACTGATTACAGGTGGATCATTCGGACTTTCAACTCATAGATAGGATCTCGACCTATGACATGGGATACTCCCGAAACTCACAAAGAAAAAAGAAGTGACGTAGCAAAAGAGAAGAAAAAACTGGCAAAAAAAAGTAAACTGGACAAAAAGAAACCAAAGTGACTTAAACACAATATTTTTGTTCGATAACCTTCAGACCAATCACGAATATTGTTATATATGTTACCGATCGAACACTACTTGAAAACGCGATTCATTGACCGTCAGAAAATGAAAATGTTCAAATGTCCTGGAAAATTCTTGCTCCCCATTGGACCATTTTGTATATATTGCATTAGGATCCCGATTCATGATCTCTCCGTCGAGAAATTAAAATAAGAAGATCGAACCATTTCTCTGACTCTTTTTCAAATTTGATAAATGTGGTTGATCGTGTATTTCATATATTTTCTATTATTCAGGTATCATTTCCTATTTGATACCTTTGAATTCATATTCGAATGTGCGATCGAATCGATTTTTAATGAATCGATTCATACATTTCTTATTAACCGGTGCTATATTGGATTTGAAATCAGATTTCGGATCAATCTATATTGATGACGCCTCCATTATGTGTTGCTAGCAAATACCATTATTTTTGTTTTGATCCTCTAAATCATCCCACCAAAGGTCTGACCAATTTATATCTAAGAATAAACATCTCTATGTTCATAAAAAAGGAGAGTAGGACCAATAAAGATTGATTTTCGATTCATATCCCTGGAGTGAATACCTCATCAAAAATGGTTTTGATCCAATCCGGAGGAATCAATAGAAAAAGTCAATTTCCCTATGATACACCAGATCCGGCTCGGTTATTGATAGAGTGAATAGATCTGCCATTTCTTTGAAATATCTCTTCTGATCAAAATCGTGGTGTAACGTGTATCCCCCCCTGATCGGTCATGGAATAGATGAAATAACCAAAAAAAACATTTTTGTTCAAGAATGAAATCTTATTGGAACTGTCCAGTTCATCCTCGGAACCATATCACATCCCGGATCTGATGAAATAGGATGAATTGACGGTATTTTGTAAGTACATAATTATCTTGAAATATAACTATTCTTATTTCATCGCCTGGAAAGAACAAAAGAAATATCTCTTTCTTCAACAATTTCTGATCTCTGACCCTCTCGTAGGATTCAACCCAGATGAATGACCATCTGTCAGAGAAAAAAAACGATTGGCTCTTGCAGATTCCCAAGAAATCTTTCGATTTTTTCCGGAAGCAGATGATATCATCTGCTTCTCACTTCCATGAATAGTGTGGCACATTGAGGAATATCCAGAAAGGCTTTT